TGACAACTTTGTTAAAAAAACAAACAAAAAAGTCAACTGGGCAGGTCTGTTCGGACTTCGATAAATCACTGGTTTCTGCACTCTGCTCTGGCTGGTAATTGAACCTGATCTTGTTGCCATGTAGTCACAGGCCCTATTCACTTTGAGGCAACAGCAACAGCGTTTGGGTTCTTTGATGGAGCAAACCAAAACCAAAACCACACCCACTGCTGTTGAGTCTTACTCTTAGACCAGAAAATTCTGACTCTTAGACCAGAACACCAGAATTTTTCACATACAATGTTTTAACTCTGGGGAATATAAATATGAGATGGGCCAACATGGAATAAAAATATTCTGTCAATTGTAATGATATGTCTAAAGTCTCATTAAAGGCAAAAATCAAAGCATTCGTACCCTCATCCCAACATTTCAGGTAGGACTGCTGTTCCCGAAGGACAATCCTTACTTATATTTTTAGACTGCTCTGGCACACTGTGGTATACCTCTAGGAGTCCTCTTAGCCTGCTCTGGGATAATTCTCAGACTTTTGGATAGACACTGTGCCTACCCAGAAGGTTCCAGATGGATGAATTGAGATGGCCCTCAGTTGGTTGTGCTGAAGGAGTCTACTCTGAATTGCCTAGTTAGGATTTCCCAGGCAAAGCTCATGGGCCTGATTGCTAGGGAATTTAAGCCAATACATCAGTGCTCCTTGTATGTATGTATAGCACATGGTCCAATTCCTAGCTGATCCTCATCGACTGTATTGTATTTAGAAAGTAGAATTAAATATGAAATTTCAGTTTACAGGACTGAATCAAGATGATCTGGTTAGGAATAAGCAAATATATAAGTTTGTGAATGATCCCATCTTAATGAGGAAACTTGTTCTGATATGTTTTCTCTGATCATGTGCTCATAGCCATCTGTCTACTTTGCTAACATAGAACAGGATTTTGCTCCATGTGAGGAGAAAAAAGTTAATTTCATTTTTATCATGTTTGAGTCTTTCAGAGTTTTCATATCTATAGTTGTCCTGCTTCCTTCTGTCTCCACAGATGCAAGAGGTTGGAAGCCGAAGAAGTAAAAAATGTGAGCGAGCAGCAATGAAATTTCATTTTTATGCCCATTGGCTATCTACTGCAACTACTTTTATGGTAAGTCTCAAAAGCTCATGAAATAATAACCCACTGCCCTTGAGTCAGATTTGACTCATAGCGACCCTTCCTTGGGTTTCCAAGGCAGTATCACTATGGAAGTAGATTGCCCAACCTTCCTTCCGAGGAGTGGCTGGTGGGTTTGAACTGCCAGCCTTCTGGTTAGTAGTCAAGAGCCTTAGGCACTATGCCACTATGCCACCAGACCTCCTCATGACATAATAAAGAAAATAATTTCCAGGAGAGTATCAAAGGAGACTTAAATAAACAGATAAACATTATATGTCCTGGAGAATGTGTCATTCTTTTTCAAAATCATTTATGAGGCTAATGTAATTAATATAAAAATACTACTTGGATTTTTCTTGGAACTTTATTCTAGAATTTGTCTATAACAAAAGGTGGGCAAGAAAAACAAGGAAATTTGTAAAAAGAAGAGTAGAGAGCCAGGACTAGAATTTGAGACCCACTGCCTTAAATTCTGATGATGGCCGGTGCTCCTTGCCTCTGCCAGACTTAACACTCTCTTTATCTTCTTCCCACTGGACTGACCCCACTTTTTCAAAAAGTTGATTGACTAATGGCCTATCCAGGGATGAATGTGGTTGACCATTGATTCTTAAATCTACACCCTTGTCAGGCTAGTTAAGCTCTCTCACTTGAGTAACTAACATTCTCTTAGGCTGTACCCTAGGATCATGGAGTGAGCTCATGTGGTCCCAGAGGTCTGAGGGACTCTTCATTAGCCTCTCTTCCCAGTCAGCAACTGCATTTCTGTAGAGGCTCTTTAATAATGAAGTGAGATATGTTAGAGGCAGCCTGATAGAACTAGTGAAGGAAATTTTTTTTAGAGTGAAGACCCTATCCTAGCACCCCTCACCCTGTCACAGAGGTCCTCTTACAAGTATTATAGTGGTAAGTTAATAATACAGTATCCATTCATTCACACCACAATAAAGGAATCCTTCAAGACCTCTGAGGTCTTTTTCCACTTCACTCCAAGGCTTTACTCTTCATTCCATAAACTATAAGAGAAATCACGTTACTTTTTTAGTACAGTTGGAGGCAATGTTGACATTTTTCAAATACAACTTAATTGAACAACTGCAGACAAATCAAAGAAAAACAAAAGAAGAGAAGCTAACAGATTTTCCTATCAGTATCTAACTCATGCAGAGCTGTCACCAATTTGGCAACTTACAGGAACACAGTTCCATTTCCTCCACTTCAAGCATGCTGTTGTTAGGTGTCATTGAGTCATCTCTGACTAATAGCGACCTTATGCACAGCATAAGCCAGGGGGATGACAGAGGGACCCAGGCCCCACCCCCAAGAGGCAGGAAAGCAGGGGGAAAGAAAAGCCAAGGGGATGACAGAGTGAGCAGCAGCAGGGATCCAGGTAAGGGGAGGATACCTGATGTGAAAGAGTTAGGCCAAGTTCCTCAGATGTCAAAGTCCATGTTGATTCGGGCAGGTACCTTGCAAGTCTACTGGAATTCCACTCCCTTTGTAGATGCTGCTCCTAGCATTTTTTCTGGGCACCAGCCACCAAGTCATTTCCTATTACTCTGAGTTCCACTGAATTCCTGAAGTCCCCACAGTCACCACTGATTCTGGCCCTTGGGAAAGACTTTTTTTTCTTTTTGCCAACTTGCTCTTTTCCAAAGGTTCTGCCCTGAATGTCTCACATTAGTTTTCACTTGGTTCTGTCCCTTGCTCCTGACTGCTTTGTCAATGATCTGTTCGGTATATCTAAGGAGTCACTAACTGGTTGCTAAGGCTGGTTCTTCCTCAGGCAGAGATTGTACCTCATCCCCAATTCTAGAAGTGGGTTTGATTGATATGTAGGTAAATCTACTCCCTTGCAGTGACTTGTATAATAAGCATGTGATCCACTCTAGACCAATGAGGAGAAGTTGGTGGATGCTTCTGAAAAAGTCCTTCCTCTGGATGCTGTCAGAAGAGGTCATAAGACTTGAGTCTTCTCACCCTCAGCATTAGGAGTAAAGTGGAACCAAGAGAATGAAAGAGAAATGGCAGACCAGAGCCACTGGACTCACAGCTTCCAGGGACAGGAGCTTCTTTATTGTGTAAGTATGTTTGGGGTATATTCTTTTGTTGTCATTTGCAGCCCAAAGATTCCCGACTGCTACATCTTTCTCTTTTTTGGTCACTCACTAGTTTCTGTTTTCTAATTGAGAGATATCTCTACCTCTTAGCTAATTTTCAGAGCCTTCCTAAACTTGGGAAGTGATTTAGCTCAAGTATCAGCTCTGTCTACATATGCTTCAATATTCAAGAGAGCTTCTGCATATATAATTCCTTTAATTATTATTGTTGTTGTTGTTGTTATGTACCGTCGAGTCAGACCCGACTCATAGCGACCCCTCCTTGGGTTTCCAAGGCAGTATCACTACAGAAGTAGATTGCCCCATCTTCCTTCCAAGGAGTGGCTGGTGGGTTTGAACCCCCAGCCTTCTGGTTAGCAGTCAAGTGCTTTATGCACTATGCTACCAGAGCTCCCCTTTAATTATTATTACAATATAAAAAAGACTTCACTCATACAGTAAAAATAACAGACCACTCATTCACAAAGCACCCAATGGGATTCAACCAATGGGATTTCTAAGTTCAACTAGGCCTACAGTAATAGCAAAACCTGGGGAGCACTGTAAGAAAAGGGATGATATTCAGAGAAAAGATAAGTTCATTTGACAAACATTTTATGAATAAAGGGGAAGTACCACTTAGCATTTTAGAGCCGCTAGAACAGGGGTTCTTTTAAAGTCTTCTATATTGGCAGTTGAATGTTTATTAAAACAAAGTACTTGGGTGGCTGGAAAAATAGACGCGCTGACATTAAAGGAGACAAAAGTCAAAAGAAGGCAGGAAAAGCAAACACTCTGGCAAAGGGAGAGTGTTTCCTGCTAGGTGGGGGGCAGGAGGTTAGGTGATGAGTTTGTGTCCTTCCAAGGTTCTGTGGACTTACGTAACTGTAGAAAATACAGAACTAAACATCTGCTGCATTTGACTTAAAAATAAAGTCTCATTTTATCATTCCTTTTTCCAAATTATCTCTCTATGTCTAATAGCTATGAGCTTGGAGTGACCAATGCTGATTTCGGCTTTTCAAAGCTGAGGACATTTAATTTTTTTTTTTTTTAAGTTTTGATAAAAGATCAGGGAATTGAATTCCATTGTTCAAACTCTCAGAGTGAAGGCATATAAGAGTGACTGGATATTTAATACCTTTGGATTTATAATACTTGTTAGTCTTGAATATTTTAATTTTCTAGATACTGGAACAAAAAAATCCCTGTATTGCCATTTGAGAAAAGTAAACTCTGTATTTGAGTTGACACACTAAATTCTTATTATTTTTCATAAATCAGCTTTGAAACCAGATAATTATAAACCATTATGCCCTGCAAAACACTAATCTTTAAAAGAGATTAATGATAAATGTGCATGAACTGTTGTATGGAAAATGAATTTGCTCTGTAAATTTTCACCCAAATCACAATAAAAATTAAAGAGATAGAGAGAGAGAGAGAGAGAGAGAGATATTAATGTCTGCCAAACAGGTTGTGGATAATTTTAAGGACATTCCAAGCAAAGGTTCTTAGTGTAAGACCCATATCACAATAATCATCAGCTACAAAAATGGATTCTTACTCGCTCTATCTTCCTTTAATGTCCACAGATTAGACTACTCAGGGATATCCACAGATTAGACTACTCAGGGATAACAATCAAGGGAGGTTTGAAAATTGCAAAAGGCAGAGAAATAAAAGAAGTATCAGATGGGATGTTGTCATAAAATCTGACGTCATTTCAAATTGAAATCAGGATTTTTCTTACCATCATTGGAACCAAAGCTTCCATCGATGGATTTTCTCTGAAACCTGCAATGAAGAACACACACATGCTCCTAAGGTATAGTAAACCTTAGCAGTTTACATTTGTTCCCTGTAGACTTTGTCTGCCAGCATCCCTTAAATATAGACCTTTGGGTGTGGAAAAACTGGACCCCTAATACATTACTAATGGGATTTGTAAAATGGTCCAGCCACTTTGTTCTGGAGATTAGGAGACATAGACATCTTTGGGGTTCCATTATTCTGTCTACTACATCATCTTAACATTATTAAGTCTTCTAATTTATGCATGTGGGATGTCTTTCTATTTATGTAGGTCTTGTTTAATTTCTTTCAATGATGTTTTGTAGTTTTCAGTGAATAAGTCATTGACTTTTGTTAAACTTATTCCTTAGTATCTCATTCTTTTTGATGCTATTGTATATAGAATTGTTTTCTTAATTTCATTTTCAGATTATTTATTGCTGGTATATAGCAGTATGATTGATTTGTGTATATTGATCTAATATCCTGCAACCCTGTTGAATTTGAGGTTTCTTTTAGTGATTGAAAGGTTCTGAAATTAGTGATGATGGCTGCACACTTCTATGTATATACTGAAAAACCAAAGAGTTGTACACCCTAAAAGGGTAAATTTTATGGTATACAAATTATATCTCAAAAAGGTTGTTATTTCAAAAAATAGATGCAACATTTGGGAATATCTATTAAAAATTAAAATACTCATTACCTTCTTCTTCCAAAATTGGTCTCCCCTTTGGATGTGATGGTGAAAGAGATGGGGAAGGAGAGTTAGGGGCCCAATATGTTAGTGCTTTGGTGAAGCCTCTTATTTACTTCCAGGTGAGGGGTCAAGAAGTCTCTCTCCCTGATCCTGGTATGTTTGCTGGAAGAACTTCTCTTCATATTATTTATTCCCAGACACACCAAACTTACCCTTGCCTCAAGAATTTTGCTCTTGCTGGTCTGGTGTAGTGCCTAAGGCATTTGATGGCTAACCAGAAGTCTGGTGATTCAAACCTACCAGCCACTCCTTGGAAGGAAGACTGGGCAATCTATTTCCATAGAGATACTGCCTTGGAAACCCAAGGAGGGGTCGCTATGAGTTGAATTGACTCAACAGCAGTAAGTTTGATTTTTTTTTTGGTTTGGTCTTTGCCTGAGCTCCTCTATTCCCAGAATCCCACATGGTTGGCTCCTTATTGGCATTCAGGTCTTGAAACAGAGAGCCTTTCCCTGTTGACCAAATTTAAAGTTGTCTCTCCAACCCAGTCATTTCTATATCATCACTGTGTTTGTTCTCCTCATATCTCTAGCTGAGATTATTTTGTTTATTGATTTCTTACTTATTATTTGTTTCTCTCTTCTAGAATGTGAGTTTAATGAGATTGAGCAGGGATCTAGACTGTTTTGTTCACCACAGTATTGGTAACCCCTAAGACAAAACCAAGAAAAACAAACTCACTGCTGTTGAGTCAACTCAACTCATAGCGACCCCTCCTTGGGTTTCTGAGGCAGTATCTCTATGGAAATAGATTGCCAGTCTTCCTTCTGAGGAGTGGCTGGTGGGTTTGAACCACCAGACTTCTGGTTAGCAGTCAAATCCCTTAGGCACTATGCCACCAGAGCCCCTTAGGACAGTGCCTGGCATATAGGAGATGAAAACTAAGTATTTGTGGAATGAACAAGGCATCAGAGGACCACACTCTTACTTACTGTCAGGAAATCAGATTAGCATTCCTCTTTCCCCAACCATCTGAACAGTTAGCACTTGGCCGGTTCTAGATGGCAAAGTGGGCTCTAGTGAAGTTCCTTTATAACTATTTTAATGACATTGACTGGCAAGAAACTATATGAAGTCATAAAAGATGATCTATTGGGATTGTGTGTTTGTATTCACAGGCATCACCCATGTCTGCCTGAGATTTTGGAGCTAATAAAGTTCTTCAGTTAGAGGAGCTGAATGATTACAAAGCTAGGGTGAGGTGGGCAGTGTCCAGGGAACAAAGGAAAAAAGCTATAGATGAAAACTGTGCTAGAATGATTGCAAAAGTGACTACACCCCACCTTCTATCAGCTCCTCTGATGAAAAGATGGAATCTATATATCACTTACCTTTTGAATCTAGAGTGGCCTCACAACTTGCTTTGGCCAATAGAATGAGGGGGAAGTGACATTTTTCTACTTCTGGACCTACCCCTTATGGAGACCTTATACTGTTCTACTGTCTGTCTTGAAGATACAATAAGCCTGAGCTAGGCTGTTGGAGGATGAGAGACTAAGCAACTGAGATCCTTCTAGAACAGCCAGTTCCTAGCTGACCCTCTAGTTGATTATACTTATGAGGGTACACAGCTAAGCTCTGCTGAGTCCAGTCCAGTTAGCAGAACCATCCAGCTGATCTATAGATTTGTGAACAAACTCAATTATTTATTACTGTAAGCCAGTGGGGTTTGCGTGTGTGTGTTTTGTTGTTTGTTTGTTGCTGTTGCTTTTCTTTTTTAATGCATTATTGTGGTAATGGACAACTAAAACAAGAATCAAAAGGAAGGAAGAGTACTCAGGAAGGCAGTTTGAATTCAATGCCTAGCAGGGTAGTTGAGAGGAACAAATAAGAAAATATGTGTGTAGTGCCCAGCCCTGGGCCTGCACATTCATTGTTGTTTGACCTTTAGGAAGCACATCACCAGGCCTGTCTTCTAAGGTTCTTCTGCATGGGCAGAAGTGAAGCACATAACCATTTGTGACCCCCAGAGACTTGAGTCTATAAATATTTGTTGACTGGTTTGGGTCTTGGGGTGGGAGGGGAATGGTATTGAGGTTCAGGCCAATATAGTATAAAATTGCTTTGGTTTCTTAGCTCCCTGAAGGCAGGGGCCAAGTCTCTTATCAATGATTTTCATCATAATTTCATAGCATGAACTATGGAACCCACATGTATTAAAAATAAGATATAGGGGACTCACCAAGCAAACACTCATTATGCTGTGAATACTGGCTTCAGTTGGCTTTGGAAGAAACTTTGTGTTATTGCCTGCTTTTTCTGATGAAGGAGGAGTTCTCCTTCTGTGAGCATTTTTCCTCAGTCTAGTCTCCTATTTAAAATGCCAAATAGTTCTATGTCTCCAGATTTCTATTTTCAGTTTGTCTATATTTGGAAAGACTCTATGCTTGTGCATTTGACTGTAGCAAAATAATCTGGCATCTAGAAGTTTCAACAGAGCCTTATACCTCAACTTTAAAAAACTTTTGTTTGCTTCTGTAAGTTGAATAACAACTTTAGGGAGATTGACATCCCATTATTTATCTATTATTAATTTTTACTATGGTGAAAATATACACAACAGATCATTTTCCAGTCAACAATTTCTACATGTATCGTCCAGTGACATTGATTACATTCTTCATGTTGTTACGCAACCATTATCACTATCCTTTTCCAAATTATTCTACCACAAGTAACATAAACTCAGTAACTCTTTTTTTTTCCTCCCCCTTTTCCCTTCCCTCCCACCTCTGGTAACCACAATAATCTTTGGTTTCTATATATTTGCTTATTTCAAATAATTGGGATCATAAATATTTGTTCTTTTGCAACTAACTCATTTCCCTCACCGTAAAGTTTTCAAGGTTCCCCCATGGTGTGGCATGTATCAGAACTCCATTCCTCTTTATGGCTAATAGTCCATGGTAAGTACATACCACATTGTGTTTATCCAGTCATCTGTTGATGGACATTTTGTGTGTTTCCACCTTTTCACTGTTGTGGAAATTGCTTCAATGATTGTTCTGGTTACCTAGTGCCACTCTGCCAAGAATATACCACAAATGGGATGACCTTAACAAACAGTTTATTTTCTTACAGTTTGGAGGCTTTAAGTCCAAGTTCAAAGTGCCAGGCTCTGGGGGCTGGGTGAAAGCCCCTCAACCTTGGGGTCCAGCTCTGCCTCCTGCTCCCGGCCCACTGGAGCTAGAGGCATTTCTTCACTCAGACAGCTGCTGGCTGCTGAGGCTGCCAAGCCCAGGGTTGACAAGTAAAAAGGCACTGTCCCAATATTACCAAATCACATGGCAGGCCATTAATTCAAGTTCATTGTAAGTCCCAAGGTCGGCAGAGCATGGCAGGCTGCTGAACAATGACATGGCTACATACAGGTTTCAAGGTGCCATAAGCTAGAGACCATTCCCAAAGCTGCTCCTTATTTACAGGAAGCAGACCACATCCCAAAGGCAGCTATTCAGCTGCTTGTGTGGTACATCCCACCATAGAGTTGACTGCCAGTCTCATCATGGGGAATAACTACCACCAGCTGCCCAGCCACTCAACTAGGCCCAGCCAAGTTGACACACAAACATAACTACCACAATGATATAAACTTAGTTTTGTCTATATGTTGACTATGCATGGTAGCTAACTAGAGAGGTGAAAACCTGTTTTCTAAAATTTAAAATATCAAGAGCAGAGACAGTCTCTCCAAGAGAGGCAGGAGGAAGGAACTTCTTTATAGCATTAGAGCTCATCTGAGGCAAAATTGGGAGTTACAAAAATACTCTCCATCCTATCCAGTCAAATATTTGCCAGGCTTCCAGGCTCTTGGTTTGGCTTCTTTGACCAGGACTTCCCTCTCTTACACGTTCTGACCATTCCTGACCCCTCGTGGTCAGTCTGATTAAGAGCTAATGCTCTGGAGACAGGCTGCCTGGGTTTGAACTCCAACTCTTTCATTTACTGGCATTCTTAGACCTCTCTGTGCCTTAATTTCCTTATCTATCACATGGTGATAAGAATAATATCCATATTAGTGGAGGATTGTTGTTGTTGTTGTTGTTGTTATGTGCCGTCGAGTCGGCCCCGACTCATAGCGACCCCTCCTTGGGTTTCCGAGGCAGTATCACTACGGAAGTAGGATTGCCCAACCTTCCTTCCGAGGAGTGGCTGGTGGGCTTGAACCGCCAGCCGTCTGGTTAGCAGGCAAGTGTCTTAGCCACTATGCTACCAGAGCTCCCAGTGGAGGATTAGATGAGACAATCTACATAGAAGGCTCAGCATCAAACCTGGCATAGAGCAGGTGCTTGTTATATGTCAGTGGTAATTTATGATAAATTAATTGTGCTGATAATCAGTTAATGTACACACTTTCCAGATATAAGATTTGCTTGTAGCTCAGGGGTTTTGTTTTTAATTTTCCTTGAAAATAATTTCAAATTTACAGAGAAGGTATAGGAATTAGAATATAGAAGACACATATACTCTTAACCTAGATTCACTTTTTGTTAGTGTATTACTCCATTTGCTTTATTAATCTGTTTATCATATACACACACACACACTCATATATATGACTTTTTCTGAAATATTTGAGAGTAAGTTACATTTTGGGTTTGTCTCATTTGTCCTCATGATTAGATTTCAAACATGATTTCCCAATGGAGTACCACACTAAGTGATACTGTGGCCCTCTCAGGGGATCACATGGGGAGACTCTCAATGTCTGTATGCCCTTTGTTGATGATGGCATCTTTATTCACCCAGTCAATGTGTTATCTGATTTTTCCACTATATACTTACTATTTTGCCCATGCAATTACTAAGCAATTGGTCAAGATGTACCGTAAGCTTTGCAAATATCTTGGTCGTCATCAGAACTTCTCCCTGGATATTATATCCATTGGTGATTCTTTTTTTTTTTTTTTTTGAACATTTTTTTTATTGTTGTTTGGGTGTTAGTTTCAGAGAAAATCAGTTTTCCATTTAACAATTTATTTTTGTTTCATGACATTAGTTGCCATCTCCTCAGTGTATCCATTGGTGATTCTTTACCTGATCCAGCCTTTACTATGATATTTGCAAAGATGTAGCAGTCTGCTTCCATAAAGATTTATTGCCTTGGAAATCCTATGGAGCAGTTCTACTTTGTCCTACAGGGTTGCTATGAGTTGGAAATGAGTTGAGTCTGGCTTGTTTTTTATTTGCAAAATGCTGTGTTTCCAACTGCAGCTTTCCCTCCCTGGTATTGACCAGTCAGCTCTTGGTATTCTACTGTAGACAAGAATCCTCCTTTCTCCTGTCAGTAGTTGCTAAATGTTCCTTTTCCTCATGTGTAACTGTTTCAGTAATTCTGTGCAAGTCACTGAATGCATATCTGCAAGTATTAAGACATTTCCTTCCATCCGTCCTTTATTGTTATGGACTCATGAATTTCTATTTTTCAATGCCTTACAATTCATTATTCTTTTAAATTAGTTTGGTTCTGAAATAGTTTCAGATATGGCCAGTGGTATTTCAACTATGAATTGGAATTGACTCGATGTCAGTGTTTTTTTTTTTTTTAAATCTCAACTCAAAGCATCATAAACGTGACAAAATGGTGTAATTTTTTGAGTCAGAGAGAGGCCTGTATGAATGAGTTAGTTCTATCACTGAGGTAGCCATGAGGTCTTTCTTCAGATGTGGTTAATCTTTTGCAATAGTCTCAAAGCTCTATGCTGGCTTTGTTTTCTTTTCTTGTTCAAGAGGAGAAAGAACATTTGTTTATTGTAAACCTCCCGCCATTCTTTTGTAGTTGTTTCACAGAGAGCAGGACAAAGAATGGAATTCTCAAGCTTCAGGCCTGCTGAGAGCGGCAAGGAGAGACTCAGCAACTTTTTACTGGGAAAGGCTCCAATTATTGGGAAGGGAAATTTCCTTGATAAAATTATGGCACCATTACCTCCTCCTCCCTTCTTAAAATTGTATTTTATTGTATTTTCAGCAAACACAGGTTCCCATACAACAATTTCTGTACATATACCTCAGTGATATTGGTTACTGTCTTCACATTTTATCAACATTTTCATGATTTTTGTTCTAGTTGTACTGTTCTCATTAACCTAGTCTCACAGCCCCCTAATGTTCTCATATGCATTTTAGAGTATTTGTTGACCATTTGGTCTCACATAGAAGGTTTTTTAAATGATCACAGTACCCAGGGGTGATATTCATTACTTTATGAGCTAACCTGCTATTTAGCTAAAAGGTTCAAGGCTTAGTTTTGGTTCAAGGCTTAAAGACTATCTCAGGCAATAATCTCAGGTATTTCTCCTGCCTCAGTGGGTCCAGTAAGTCTGGATGTTTAAAAAATTTGAAGTTCTGTTCCCCATTTTTTTTTTTTTTTCCTTTTTACCAGGATCATCTATTGTGTTCCTGATCAGAACATAAGATAGCAGTAGCCAGGTACCATCTTGTTCTTCTTGTCTCAGGGTAGAGGAGGCCATAGTTCATGTAGACAATTAGTCTTGTAGACTTGTTTTTTTCTGAGTCTTGGGTTTCATGCTTTCTCTTTTGCTACAAATGAGTACAGATCAATAGTTGTATCTTATGTGGTAACCACCTATGAACACTGGTCTCTATAAAGCTGTTTTTTTTACTCATTTTATAAAAGTGAGATAATATAATATTTTCCCTTTAATGATTGACTCATTTGGCTCAGATTGATGTGTTCTAGGTTCATCTATGTTCCAAGATATTTTGGGAACTTATCTTCCTTTATGGCTCTGTAATATTCCATTGTGTCTGTGTACCACATTTTGTTTATCTGTTCATCTATTGATAAGCACCTCTTTATCCCTCCTTTTCTTTTCTTTCAAGGAACATTTTGTTAGAAAATAGATGCTGCAACAGTAGGAGAGCACCTGGTAATACAGTATCAAAGCACATTACTCCTGCTATTTATTGCACTTCAAGATTTATTTTAGATTAATTTTACTTCTTGATGAAATGTTTTAAGTTGTTTCTAAATCTCCGTATCAGGAAGAACTGATAATTTCCCACATTTCGTGGGATTTATGGTAAATATTTTCTGGTCTGAAAAATGCACAAGGTGCTGTTTTGTTGAAGTCTCATTAACTCTGAAAATAACTAACAGTCTGCCAGCACTTAGTATGTGCAGGATATTGATGTATACTGCACTTATATTATTATTCTATGAGGTAAAATATCTCATTTGCAGATGAGAAATTGAAGCACAGAAAGGTTAAGTAACTTGCCTAGTGGTGTTCAGTGGCTAAGGTAGATGTGACCTCAGTCAATGTGGCTCTAACATCTCTGCTAAGTCATATACTAATCCACAGGAAAAGGGGGTTAACATTTCTTGAAAGTCTTGACCTACCTGACATAATGGACAAATGCAACAAGCAGGCATCCCAAGTAGAGGGAGAAGAAGATGAGGAAACTGAGAAGAATGGATTTCACATAAACGGATTCTGAGGGAAGAGAAATAAACTTTGCTCAGGTTGAACCCAGGAGAAAAGAGGATAGTCAATGTCCATGTTAGGGACAGAACAGTTTCAAAGGTCCCACATTCATCATGCCTATTCTTAAGTCCTAAGAAATTTCCATTAAGAACAAGAAAATCACTCGAGGTCAACTAGACATTATCCATTAATGACTGTCTTGTCAGTAAGGGCTTCTCAGTGGAAGGTGGGAAGAGATTGCCAGTGCACAACTTCATGACAAGCTCTCCTTTATTTTGGGAGGGATTCAGCAAAATGCTCTGATTCCCTCATCTATCTCTAGTGTGAATATATTTTAGTTTTTTTTAAGATGAATCTGGAAGGATGTCATCTTTTCTCTGGAAGTATAACACTAGCATTGAATCATGAAATAGACTTCCTGATAGGAATTTCTCAACCACTTCCTAGAGCCAACACTGACCTTTAATGGAAGGAACAATGGTCACTTTAAGGTTCTTCGTTCGTTGTAAATTCCAGGTCTGGTTCTCCTTTTCTAAAGAAAAAAAGAACAAAGCATAATGGCTCAGATACCAGGTTCTTGGTCTATAAAAATTTTCAAAAAATGGCCACAATTACCTCAGGTTGTCAAGGGTGGATTACCCAATAAGCAAGATAAGCACGGGTTTACTTATTAATCTGTAGTAAACGATTTCACATTTTTGCACAACATCAAAGATTCTTCTTCCAGATATGGCTAGCATCTGTCTCTGCCCAATCCCACAGTGACTTTCTACAGAACCAAAGCCTCTTTTCAAATGTCCAGACTGGATAATTACCTGTTCCTGACAGGGATGGAGCACCCAGTAAGCAAGGCAGCATGGACTTATGCTTACTTACTAATCTGTAGTAAATAGTGTGAAAGGTTACCTTTCTTATTGGGTTATCTGCCCCTGCTGGTTGTATAGTTTTATTTTATCAAGAAGTGGAGGAAAATCTAACCCCTAAATCTTCAAACTACCTAAAACTCTTTTTGGTTAAAACTTATAATTTGGTCTTTGCTTAGATGAACTTTGGTAACACTAACGGAAGCAAATGGGACTGTAATTTCTCTTCTCCAATGAAAGGTTGTGGATCCTTCTCCTGATATCTGCGTGGCTCAAAATACCACAGATATCTGAAGATAAAATCTTCAAAAGTAGAAAGCTACTTCTTTTAGTTTGTATTTTTTAGTTAGCGGGATTTTAAATACATTTTTTTTCCCCTTCTATAGTCTTCCAATGACTTGTACTTTACCAAGGAATTTTTGACACTATGAAACTCTGTATTGTTGTGTGTCACTGAACAATTCCAACTCAAAGTGACCCTCAAAGAGAGAGTAAAACTCCCATAGGGTTTCCAAGACTGCAATCTTTAGGGATCATGCTGCCACATCTTCCTCCTGTGGAGCCATTGGTAGGTTCACACCACTAACCTTTAGGTTAGCAGCACTTTAACTGCTGTGTCACCAGTGCTCCCAGTTACTGGATAGTTACCCAGACTGCCAAAAGAATGAACACAGCTGTCCTGGAGGAATACTCCTTGGAAGTTAGAATAGCCAGACTTTGTCTCACTTACTTTGGTTATGTTGTCAGAAGGGACCATTCCTTGGAGAGGGATATCACACTTGGTAAAGTGGAGAGTCAGTGAAAAAGGGAAAGATCCTCAATGAGATGAATCAACACAGTGGCTACAATGATGGGCTCAAGTACAACAAGGATTGTGTGGATGGCACAGAACTGGGCAGTGCTTTGTTCTGTTGTATATAGGGTTGCTATGAATTGGAGCTGACCAGACCTTACAATAACAAGAGCTCACATAACCCCTGTCATTGGGATAAGTTGTCGTATTTTGCTTTCTTACTACTTTGCAAGGCACAAATTTGGCAGCCACAACTATGAACTCTGAATTTTCCTTGTAACTCCTTGTGGATATGATAAATACTATCAATATAAATGGCTCCATTATGGCTGGCTACCAAACTAATCTTAGGAAAAAGACCTGGTTTCTTGATTTCCTGTATAAGATTAATATTTCATAGTAACAAATATTTGTTGAATAAAGAACGAACTGAGTGATTTATACCTTATCTGGTCTGAGGAAGTATAAGACTTTGAAACTATGGAATGTATTAAATGACATTTTGTAGTACTGACAATGCCTTTAGATCTTTCATTTTCTTCCCTTCATATTTATTTATTCATTTTTTGTGTGTGTGATTTGGGTGAAAGTTTACAGAGCAAATTAATTTTCCTCTCATTTTTTTCTCAGATGGCCCTGCCAACTCACTGCTAAAGGACCCTCACTTAGAGAGAAATAGAAGTGGTGATAAAAGGCCAATGTGAGGGTTTGGCTTCCTTTTCATTGCCCTCCTCCAAGTATTTCCTAGTAGCCAAGCACTCCTCACTGTCTCTTACCCTGGATGAAGAAAGATCCTCCACAGGTATAATCTTCAGGCTTTATCACAAACACCACGAAGAATTGCTCGCCTGGAAAATCCTTCTTCTGCATAAGACATAACAACCTTATGAGAGGAAGGCAAGAAAGATAGCAGGAAGGAGAAGACCATGTGGGGAGAGAGGCAGAAAGAGGACAGAGAAGACAAGTAAAGTTCATCCTTGCTTCCTGCCTCCTTAAAAAGGATCTCCACACACCCATGATCCATTTCAGATTATCCATGACAAAATAACTGTTACATCCAAGGAATTACGATAAATAGACAAACTGTCTTCATTTCAGTTTACACTTAAAATACCTTGTGTACCATAAAATAATAAGTCAACAGCCAATGCTTAATAATTAATACTCATATACAGTAAAACTTGTGAAAACCAAAACCAGTGTAAGGAGGAAACCTGTCAGAGAAGGAAAGCTAAAATATTTTCCACTAACAGAGAGGGATAGTGAAGTGGTAAGTTGCACCTCATCAAAGGTGGAATACTTGCAAGATCCAGAAAAAAATGTAGTCCTGTTGAGTTCTGGCTTTCATGAGTATATTACATTTTTATTATTTTAAAATCTAAAGATAAATGACTTTCTTAGAAGTCACACAGGCAGAAGCTAAATAAATAACTCAGGTTAGGAAGGCAAAGACTGAGAGGCCCAGAGACCTGAGTTACAGTCCTGACTTTGACTTCCTCAACATGTGCTTCCTTTACTGTCTTTTTAATGACATTTTGCTTTCTTCATGGATGATGTTCTTGATGTCATCATCAAGTGTCATTAAAAAGACAGGAAAGGAAGAAAAGACCAAAATGATGTCAGAAGAGACTCTGAAACTTGCTCTTGAACAGAGAGTAGCTAAAGCAAATGGAAGAAATTAAAAGATAAAAGAGCTGAACAGAAGATTTCAAAGAGCAGCTGGAGAAGACAAAGTCAATTATTATAATGAAATGTGCAAAGGCATGGAGTTGGAAAGCCAAAATGGAGGAACACTTTCGGCATTTCTCAAGCTGAAAGAACTGAAGAAGAAATTTAAGCCTCGAGTTGATATATTGAAAGATTGTATGGGCAAGATATTGAATGATGCAGGAAACATAAAAAATAAAAAAAAAGATGGAGGAAATACACAGACTCACTGTACCAAAAAGAATTGGTCGATGTTCATCCATTTAAGGAGGTCTCATATGATTAAGAACCAATGGTACTGAAGGAAGAAATTGAAGCTGCACTGAAGGAAGTGGTGAAAAACAAGGCTCCAGGATTTGATGGAATACCCATTGAGATGTTTCAACAAATGGATGCTGCCCTGGAGGCACTCACTCAGTTATGCCAAGAGATTTGGAAGACAACTACCTGGCCAACTTACTGGAAGAGATCCATATTTGTACCCATTCCAAAGAAAGATGATTCCACAAAATGTGGAAATTATTGAACAATATTTTTAACATCACATGCAAGTAAAATCTTACTGAAGATAATTAAAAAATGGCTGTGGCAGTATATTGACAGAGAACTTCCAGAAATGCAAATTGGATTCAGAAGAGGACACGGAATGAGGGATATCATTGCTGATGCCAGATGGATGTTGGCTCAAAGCAAAGAATGCCAGAAAGATGTTTCCTTGTGTTTCATTGACTATGCAAAAGCATTCTACTGTGTAGATCATAGCACATTGTGGATAATATTGAGAGGAATGGGAATTCCAGAATATTTAATTGTGCTCATGAGGAACTTGTACATAGACCAGAGGCTGTTATTCAAATAGAATAAGGGGACACTCCATGGTTTAAAATCAAGAAGGGAGTGTGTCAGGGTTGTATCCTTTCACCATATTTATTCAACCTGTATGCTGAACAAATAATCTAAGAAGCTGGACTATATGAAGAAGAATGTGGCATCAGGATTTGAGGAAGACTCCTTAACAACTTGCAGACAACACAACTTTGCTTGCTGAAATCGATGAACATCGACCATGATGACTTGAAAAACTTACTGATTAAGACTGAGAATTCAATCTGCAGTAGGGATTACTCCTCAATATAAAGAAAACAAAAATCCTCACAACGGGACCTATAAGCAGCATCACAATAAATGGAGAAAAGATTGAAGTTGTCAGTTGTCAAAGACTTCATGTTACTTGGTTCTACAATTAACACCAATGGAAGAGGCGATCAAGATATCAGACATCTTATAACATTGGGTAAATCTGCTGCAAAGGACCTCTTTCAACTACTGAAGAACAAAGATATATGCTTGAAGACTAAGGTGTGCTTGACACAAGCCATGGTATTTTTAATTGCCTCATATGCATGTGAGAGCTGGACAATGAAAAAGGAAGACCTAAGAAGAATCAATGCTTTTGAGTTGTGGTGTTGGCGAAGAATGCTGAAAGTGCCATGGACTGCTAAAAGAACTAATGACTCTTTCCTGGAAGAGGTGCAGCCAGAAGGCTCCTTGGAAGCAAGAATGGCCAGACTTTGTCTCACCTACTTTGGTCATGCTGCAAAAAGGGACCATTCCCTGGAGAAGGATAGCATGCTTGGTAAAGTGGAGGGACAATGAAAAAGAGGAAAGCCCTCAATGAGATGGATTGCCAGTGGCTGGAATGATGAGCTCAGGTATAGCAAGGATCATGGGGCTGACACAGGACTGGGCAGTGTATCGTTCTGCTGTACATAAAATCGCTATGAGTCAGAGATGACTCCATGGCACCTAACAACAAACAACATGTGCTTCTCTATGACCCTCACTCATAAACGAAGGGTGTTTGATAAGATGATCTTTAGGTTTATTACAGTTTGGACATGTTATCAGGAGAGACCAATCACTAGAAAAAGACATCATGTTTGGTAAAGTAGAGGGTCAGCCAAAATGAGGGAAACCCTCAATGGGGAAGGCCCTTGACGAAATAGATTGACACAGTGGCTGCACTGATGGGCTCAGGTCTAGCAAGGATTGTGGGACTGGCACAATAGGCACAACAGTGGACTCAACCGAAGATTATGAAGATGACACAGGACTAGGCAACATTTGGTCCTGTTTTACATGAGGTTGCCATGAGTCTGAGCTGACTTGACAGCAACTGACAAAAACAACAGTAGTTCTAAGACTGTATATTTTATCATCTCCAAATTTCTGGTATCATGTTTAGCCAACTGAGAAATTGGCTCAAGGTAGAATAATGGCATCAAAAGAGAAGTGAGAACTCACTGCAAAATATTACCAAAGGAAATGTACTGGGCTTCATTAATTCAGTATCCCAATGATATAATATCTGAGGTGCCCAAATGTGCTTATTTTCCTGTCCCCTTTTATTTGGGACCACATAATGCTGGAAAGCTGAGGAAGAAATAAATACTAAAAACAAGAACAAATATTTGGAATATCAAATGTAAGGCCCTACATCATTTATGCCTGACTGGTAGAAGTTTTTAGATCTGATACCTGAATTACAATTAACTTCTTTTCATTCTGTGTTGTTATTCAACAAATACTATTATCTTACTCTAAGGAATAGATCAAGTTGCAGGCACCTCAAGCTTAAGAAACCACCCTGAAGGCAGGGATAGAATCTCTTAAAATATTCTGACATCACCGATGTGATGTACAAAAAATGTGTACATTTTTTTTTTTTTTGCCATGAAACTATCATTGAAATAATTAGTATCAAAAGGGTAAACTTATACACAAATATGGTTTGTATTCCTTTGAATTTATCCATTTTGTCTAGAGTTGAAGACCTGTTTTTGTTACGGATATAAATTACTAGTATGTGTTTTATTGCTTTAAATGGAAAGGATAAACTTTAACCTAAAATTGGCAACTCTGATAAGTAGACTGGAACTTCTGGTAATCCATAGGGCCTTACCTCTCTAAGAAATCTCTCAGATATGTCCCACTGCACCATGATTTCCTAAGAGTCTTTAAGAGGAATAGGACAGCTGGCAGAAGAGTTCTGTCCTCAATTGTCCAGGCTTTGATTTCAGGCTCAGGTTTTTAAACCAACCAGAAAGGAAAAAGATACAAGGCACACAGTGGATGGCCATCCTTTGTGGATGCTGGTCCAGTAGTTACCCTGCTATAAATCATGCATTGTAATTGACAATAGTAACTAGAGAATCAATGTCTCACCTGAAGTGTGATGGCAGCTTTCTTGGTCATGGACTGATAGACACCATTAAATTCCACATTGTGGTCGAGATCATACACAGGGCACTGTAACATGCATGGGAGATAAGAAGGAAAGCATCACCGATGTCATATCACACCTAGTCCCTGTCAGGGTCTTCTCACCTGGATCACAGAGCAAGGGAGTCCTTACTAAGTCAGAAGCCATACAAATTTTCCCTCTTGAAACTTGGTGCTTTGTCCTCTAAAGCCAAGGACGTCCTATCAAAGAGAACTATGGAAGGACTGTCTTAAAGTATATAATACTTTTCCCATTCTTGATTAATACATGATGAGATAGAAAGGATTAATGTTACAATGAAAAATTTTAAGTACAGAACAAACAGTAGGTTTCTACTCTATTTATCATGTGCAGTCCACAACTTGATCTTTTTTGTTTTTTGTTATGATTCTTCCTTTCTCTATCTTCTTATTTATTTATTTATTTATTTACGAGGCAACCACTATTCTTTATCTCCTCAAATCAATGTCTAAAAAGAGGGATTGCCCACTTGTCTGAGCAAGATACTGTTCTTATTATTTAGCAGTTATGGGACACATACATAGTGAGAGGATGTCATGGTCCCCACCTCTCTCCCATTTACTCTAGGACAACACAATGATCCATATTGGAAGGTTGAGAAGTTATCAGGACTCACCATGATATTCTGGACGGAGACAACAGAACATGGGTAAGCCATTTCAGATACTACTTTAATGATAACAGAGTCCACATCTTTGGGAAATTTATATAGAAAATACTGAGAACAAAAAAAAATGATCTGTTAATATTAAGAAATATTTACAATCACAAACTCAGAACTATTTTCACATGAATAGGATAAGTTCCTCTAATATTAGGCACAAAATTCAGATGTAAATCTCAGTAGATCTGCATTAGTTCATTTATATCATACATATTGAGCAACTGCTCTGTACTTTGGCTCTGGGCCAGGCATTGCGGAGACAGCAGTGAGCAGGACAAAGGAACTATTTTATTACAGTGTTGCTATGTTGTTAACTATGATAAAACAGCACAATGACCATTTCTTTCTAGACTAACCTTTGTTGCACTTATTCCAGCTCTTACTTAAGGAGAATCTCCCACCCCCACTCTCTCCTTTGGATTAAGGATATACTGGATGTAATATGAGACAGAATTTTCTTCTGTGTGGTCATTGTGAAATATGAAGCAGATAAGCCTTATAAAGCAGATAAGCCTGTTCTTCAAGAATTTTTACTGACCTTCTCATAGGCAGAATTAGCAATAGATCCACTCTTCCCCTAGATCTTTTGCTAAGGAATCCATTTCCTGATTGGACTACAGTAAGAAGATATTTAGATTCAGAAACCAAGTCCCACACCTAGCTCCCTGAAATATGTTCACAATTTTGGGCAGGCTGAGATATATTTAATAGTATTTTTCAGATATTTTGAGATATATTTAATTAGTATTTTTCAGACAAGAATCAGGAAACATTTCTAATAGAAATAGAGTCTACTATTCACCTACTTAGATTATGAATCCACTGGAAAGATGTATTAAAACCCTAACTTTAAAATATGCTGCTAATGATGAAGAAAGAGGACTTCTGCCCAACAATTGTAAATATGGTAACTGGTTCAGAGGCTTGCCATGAAATATATGACTAAGATTTTGAAAAAAACACACACATACATACACACATACACTCACTCACCCAAAACAAACCACATATCTTTGTGCTGTAATAAATCTAAATCTTAAAAGAGACACAAAATATGTTAAACCTTAATTTTGCATCCCAACATCCTCTTTACTAATCTGATATTGAGAACCACAGTGATAAAAAGAAAATGTTTTTCAAAATCTAAAACCTTCAACCTTCTTATGGTTAAAAAAAAAAAAAAAAAAAGAAATCTCAAAATTAAGGAGTGTCATTAATGAGGCTATTTGTAAGTCTGTTCATGCCTCATAACAGATGGCAACACCCTCCCAAGCCTGTTACATTCTGCTCTTTCATTGTGAAGCTTGATTTAAACATATACAAATACATTTAATACAGGGTTTCCCCAAAGATGAGTACTTTGGAATTCTCAAGAGGTGTATTTAGTTCTTAGAGGAATTATTCTTTGTAACTCAAGAGATTTTCTATGGTTACTGTTAGTAATAATGGCCTTAATATATGTTCATATATATTCTTATATAATATTCCTTACTAATCAACATGGTTAGGTTCCAAAGACCAGGTCATTATGCAAAAATTGGTGTTATGTGAAAATGGATAGTAACCATATCAGATCACAGAGGATGACTACATTACACAACTGGCAAATTACAACATTACATAACTGCCAAACCAAACTTGGCCCAGCCAAGTTGACACATAACCTTAACCAACACAGCCAGTGTTACTCTTGCCTTGAACCTTGGTATTACTGCCAGATGTATACCATTAATGTGCAAAGTATTAGATAGTAGATTTTTTACTATTGTCATAAATGCAAAATGTCAGATTACGAGACAGTCAGTGAGTTGGTTTTATGCATGCATCTACTGCAGCCTAATCTATGTGTCAAAATACTATTACCTCTCTTCCTTTCTATATTAGCATAAATGCCAAATAATTATTTTTGACCCCTGTCCTGTCATTTACTTTTACCAGAAAGAAGAAAATGACATATATCCCAAGCAATAGCTAGAATTTAGGATAAAAATAATCTTCCAGGTCCTGATTACCTGGCCAGCTTCTGCAACCTGTTAAATCTACAGATATAGAGGCAGACAGTGATGACACAGTTTGTCTGAGAATGTACAATAGTTTGGGTGAGTGTGTAGGAACAGAAAATATTTTCCTGCAACTGAAGAGAATATAAAATAGAGGCCAAATAGGAACTATTAAGAGTAAATTAAAACTTTTACGGATATCAAAGAATTTCTATTTTGTTTGTTCTCATGTATATTTTATTCTGGCTTGGGGCTTATATAGAAATAGCTTAGGTTTTAATGTTTACATAATTTAAAAAAAAAAATAAGAAGAAATTACACTATAATTATCACTGATTTTCAACCTATAAGCCCTTCTATTATAGTGTATGCCATGTTCTGTATATCATATTTATTATAGATTGCATTCTTCCTTTAGTTGGAGTGCAATTCCCAGCTTGTTTAGTAAGTGGCTCCCATTGTACCTCAAGGGAAAAAAAAACAAACTCATTGCTGTTGAGTCAATTTGACTCATAGTGACCCCTCCTTGGTTTTCTGAAGTGGTATCTCTACAGAAGTAGATTGCCCAATCTTCCTTCCAAGGAATGACTAGTGGATTTGAACCACCAGGCTTCTGGTTAGCAGTCAAATGCCCTAGGCACTACACCACCAGAGCTCCCCCCATTGCACCTAGTAACTCAAAACAAAACACCCAACCCCTCAAAAAAAAAAACCAAACTCACTGCCGTCAAGTTGATTCCAACTCATAGTGACTTCCATTGGTTTTTCAAGGCTATAAAACTTCACAGAAGCAGACTGCCCCATCTTTTTTCTGTGGAGCAGCTGGTTGGTTTGAACTAGCAACCTTTTGTTTAGCAACCAAATGCCTTAACCATTGTATCACCGGAGGTCCTAGTAACTAAACCAAAAACCAAACTCACTGCCATTGAGTCAATTTGACTCATAGTAACACCTCCTTGGGTTTCTGAGGTAGTATCTCTATGGAAGTAGATTGTTCAACCTACTTGTGAGGAGTGGCTGGTGGGTTTGAACCACCAGCCTTCTGGTTAGTAGTCAAATGTCTTAGGCATTATGGCACTGGTACTTTCTAAATATTTCTTTAATTAAGTGGTCAATAAATGTTGATGTCAATGGGTCCTCTCTTGTCACTGGGTGGCAGTATACATGCACTTCAGAGGCCTTCATTGAGAAGGGAAATTTAACACTTAAGAAGTGTGTGGGAACTGGCTCATGAAGGCTTGGAAGAGCTGATTGTGTACATCTCTTCCCAACTCTGTGTTCAATAATATCACATTGGAAGCTTGAAAGTGGCTATGAAAGAGGTATTCAATGGACAAGCACAACAAAGCAGGGCTTTTTCTCAGTGAAACAGTTGTTAAATATTTACCAGCACAGTGTCCATATCATGTTAATCCCAGTATTAGTAACTTCAAAAGTAAAAATTAAGTAGCCATTTATGATCAAAGCCATATTACGGCCTGCAGAAGATTTATAATAAATTATCAGGACATTAATCTTTTTAAGACTTGCTATTGAATAGACTTTACTCTTTGCTTCAGAAGCTATGACAGGAGAAACTTATTTATTCCATCCATTACATTGTGGAAATTAAAATCTGTCTTATATTTATTGTATTTCCTGGTCTATTAATTATCTATGTACCTGTTTAATATATTGGCCCTCCTCTTTCCTCTCCCCACTCTAAGCTCCATGAGGGTAAAAAGTTGTGTCTCTCTTCTTCACTCCTGTATGGCCAGCACCTAGTACAGTCTAACATGGTGCTTGGTGCATAGTAAGCACATGATTTTCTGAATGAAGGTTGAACTAAGAAACATCTGCAAAAATGTCATGCCTCTCATTTCAAATCAGTTAAGGTGATAAGATTAAATATGTGTCCAAAATTCCAGGCCATGAGTGACATTCCAAAAATATAAATATATCTCAAGTTGTAAAAGATCAAGAGTAACACCATATACTGATTATACCTGTTATCATGGATTCTTTGAGTAACACCAACAGATAGAATGATAATAATTTTTGGAACCCTTAATTTACCTGAGGTTGAGAGGGGCTGGCAGTGAAGTGAAAGGCAACATTTGTCCTGTGAAACAAAAATGGGAGAGGGAGTGAGAGAACAGTTTAAGTTAGGAAGCACAAATCATTTATTTGAAAGAAAGCCATCTTAAACTAGAAGAAAGGAAAGCCTTATCTTTTGTGAAGGGAGTTCTGGTCCTATCAAACTAAGACAGTAAATTGCATGGGGACCCAGTTGATTCAACTGTCAAGAATGATCAAAGTGGGGAAGGGGATCATTTTTACGCCTTTAAATATCTATGAAGTCATAACAATATAAGTAAGTACTTTGCTTACTTTTGTAGGAACTTTTACCTTTGGACTCTCTTAAGATCTTACAGACAAGCACAGGGTTTAGCTGTCAAAAGTAGGCTGAAAGGAGGCGGGGCAAGATGGCGGACTAGGCAGAAGGATTGCA